TAAATCCGGGATAAATCCAAGAAAAAATGGGTAAAAATTCAGGAGAAATCCATGAAAAATCCAAAAAAAATCTGGGATAAATCTGATAAAAATCCAGGAAAAATCCAGGAAAAAATGGGAAAAAAATAGGGATAAATCCAGGATAAATCCAGGGGAAAAATGGGTAAAAATTTGGGATAAATCCAGGAAAAAATGGGTAAAAATTCGGGATAAATCCAGAATAAATCCAGGAAAAAATGGGTAAAAATTCAGGAGAAATCCATGAAAAATCCAAAAAAAATCTGGGATAAATCTGATAAAAATCCAGGAAAAATCCAGGATAAATCCAGGAAAAATCCGGGATAAATCCAGGAAAAAATGAGTAAAAATCCGGGATAAATCCGGGATAAATCCAGGAAAAATCCAGGAAAAAATGGGTAAAAATTTGGGATAAATCCATGATAAATCCGGGATAAATCCGGGATAAATCCAGGATAAATCCAGGATAAATCCAGGATAAATCCGGGATAAATCCGGGATAAATCCAGGAAAAAATGGGTAAAAATTCAGGATAAATCCAGGAAAAATCCGGGAAAAAATGTGTAAAAAATAGGGATAAATCCAGGATAAATCCGGGATAAATCTGATAAAAATCCAGGATAAATCCGGGATAAATCCGGGATAAATCCGGGATAAATCCAGGAAAAAATGGGTAAAAATTAGGGATAAATCCAGGAAAAATCCAGGAAAAATCCAGGGGAAAAATGGGTAAAAATTCGGGATAAATCCAGGATAGATCCAGGAAAAAATGAGTAAAAATTTGGGATAAATTCGGGATAAATCCGGGATAAATCCAGGAAAAAATGAGTAAAAATTTGGGATAAATCCAGGAAAAATCCAGGAAAAAATGAGTAAAAATTCGGGATAAATCTGGGATAAATCCGGGATAAATCCGGGATAAATCCGGGATAAATCCGGGATAAATCCGGGATAAATCCAGGATAAATCCAGCTTTTTTCCACCGGGATCAGGAATTGTGGAGGGAAGGAAAAATCCGACGCCAGATCCCAAATTTTTTTTTTATTTTTTTGGGAATTTTCCAAGAATTCCAGGACTCACCTCTGGATTCCAGGAGGATTTGGGGTCCCCTCCGGAATTTTCCAGGGATCCGGGGGAGTTTTCCAGGCTGGGAAATTCCGGGAATTCCGTGGGACGTCTCATGCTCAGCTCCTGCTGAAGCGGAAAATTCCCAAAATTCCCAAAATTCCCCAAAAATTCCCAAAAAAATCCCAAAAATTCCCAAAAATTCTCATCCCGAGGAATTTTTCCAGCCTGACCCCAGGGGGATTTTTTTTGGGAATTCACCGGGAATGGGGAATTTTGGGAATTCCCAAAAATCCTGGGATGGAAATTCCTAAAAATTCCAGGAGTGGAGAATCCCAAGGAAAAAACTTTGGGAATTTTGGAAATTCCCAAAAATCCTGGGATGGAAATTCCTAAAAATTCCAGGAGTGGGGGAATCCCAAGGAAAAAACTTCGGGAATTTTGGGAATTCCCAAAAATCCTGGGATGGAAATTCCCAAAAATTCCAGGAGTGGAGAATCCCAAGGAAAAAAACTTTGGGAATTTTGGGAA